AGCACTTTCTTATGATACTAACAGTATTGCATTGAAGATGAAATTCTCTTGGAACAGCTGCTTTAAACATAAGGCAAAAAAATCGTACAGAACTTATGCAGCAATCTAATAAGTCATGGTCATACTCTTGAATTTGAAGTTCGCGCGTTACAACAACTTCTTGAAACACGGCTGTTTGCGGATGCATGAAGTTGATAACATAATATGTCTATCACCAAGACGGTTGATAAACTTCCAGTACTAGTGCAGTACAGATACAGTAAATTCCAGTACTTCCAGGACGGATAATCATCCGGCGTCGTCGCTTTTCTCAAAGCCGGGAAAAATGGGAGCCAACTTAATCATGTTGTAAGTCACAGAACTACTCATGATTTTGATTCAATTTTTGTGCCACATAATGCTGTCACCCTCTTCAAATCACATTTACCTAGCTGGAAATGCTTGCTATACGCTCTTGTAAGAATTGGAATTATTAAACAAGTGCTTATGCGGAGCGAGAAAATCAAAATTTTTGGCACCAGCATTTTATCTTGTAGCTAAAGATACTTTGAGTACTTCTACAATCCTTTGATGCACATGTGTAGGAGGCTTTGCGCTATTAAATCGTAGTATTTGCGGTTGCCAAAAGTTGTTTTTTTGAAAAACAAAAAATAAAGGTTTGCGAATGTTATACCTGCGTGCCATTGCTACTGTCTTCAGAACAAATTTGAAAGCTTAGAAGCGCAGCAGGCACTGAGTCCTAGGTTAAATTTCTTTTTTTAGTCTAGTCTTACATATAAGCATCCATTTGAAATCCGTCAACGGAGCAATTTTAGTATTTTTTACGTTATGATCTTCCGCTCCTTCGCGCAATGGCATCCGAATTTCCAGTATGCGAGTACACTTGCTTTCACTTGAAATTACAAATTTCTTATCTAAATTGCAAAAAAATTTTCTTGGAAGTGTGTTGTAGACAAAGCTGTTCTAAGTTGCTGCACATTTGCTTAGTGAAAGAAGCAGTTATCGTGAAGGGGTTGGACGAATCTTATTAGGACTACCTGCGTACCACGACAGGTGGACTCGCTACATTTTGAAGGGTTGCTTTGAAGCCGAATGCAATCTCAAAATTTGAGAACTGCGTTATAATTGTAGAGGTTCGAATTATATGTGCACCAAAATTTTTGTTTCTAGGTACTTTCCTTCTGACGTCATCAGAAAAAGTAGTACTAGACTCCCAGACTTTTGACGCACCCTGTACTAATCTCTCTACCTTTTCCACAACAGGATACAATCCAGCGCTATATTTGGGATGCGAAGCAGCAACAAACACGTAAAAATCTTAGTCAGCGCCTACGAAAAAGCCACGATGTGAGCGGACCGTCGTATGAGGAGGGGTGCGGGTTTCTAATCCAGAGCCATATCCTCGCAACAACGTGATGTGCCTACCAGGCGCGTTAGGACTTGTTATAATTACGTGCTCGTCACAATATCAAGACATGCAAGCCCCTCCCTCTTATCCAGTGTCGCTCCAGACGCTGAAGTCGGAATTCCATAGAAAGTTTCAAAATCGAAGTTCAGTAGCGAAATTGTTCCCATCAAGACGAAATTTCGGATTTGAAGAGTTTTCGAGGTTGCTCTTTTCAGCAGTGAGAATTTTTGCTGCGAAGTCAGGTTCGGCACCTATAATACCCAACCGAGATCAAGATTCGGATCTAGTCGAAGTTTTCTTTTTAGAACAAGACCAAAATTCTTCACGGATTTTCGAAAAATTAGAAGTGAACTCTTGATAAAAATACCGTAGCCTAAGTTTGAAATTGCTTGTTTTCAAAATAATGAAGGCGTTTTTCTCTATTGTTTGACACCATTCCGAGCTTTCTAGGACTACTATGAAGTTTTCTGGCATTGGTACAGCCTCTATGACGTATTATCATTTTAGTTGTACTCAATGTACCATGTGAGTGGTTAGACTTGTGTTTGAGTTTCTGCGTTCTTTTTGATGAGTGATCTTGAGTGCATATGAATAAATAAATAAATAAAAATAAATAAATAAATAAATAAATAAATAAATAAATAAATACCCTATTTTCCGGTTTATAAGCCGCACCTTATATAAGCCGCACTCGCCGCAGCGAACACTGGCGCGAAAGAGCCTTCGAAAAGAAAGTTTTGATCTAACAAACTGAAAACTCGCTGCATTTTTGACTGCTTTTCATTGCGCATGTTGACGTTTTCAGATATTTCTTTATTCTTTCCAGAGATTCGAACGATTTTGGGGTGTTTGGGTTGTGTTTTTTCCTCAAGGATACAATGGAGTTGACCGTGTTTTCAAGTTACAATCAGGCTACTAGGTAAAATAGGTGGTAGTTGGCTGCTTGCGCGGCTTCGCACATCGCGACCATCATCTCGCATCAGCCCGCGCGCGACGAAAATAATTGCGGCTTATACGCCGGAAAATAGGGTAAATAAATAACCTCATTGACCTGATTTTAGAAGTACTTGGCTGGGTCATTATCAGTGCTGCACCTTGATTTTCGAAACTGAGTTTAGGAAAGAAACCAGTTTAGGAAAAAACCGGAACTGCAGACATATTTCTGCTGGCATCTCAAATCTAGGGTAATTCGTTTTTTGGAGAAAAGCATTCTGTCTCGAAAGAATCGCGTACGTATTCATTTGACATTTCCTTTCTAGGAAACAAACATTTTCTTTCCAAAAGATGTTCAAAAATCAAATCGATATCGATATTGCACAGAACATACTCCAGAAAGCGATTTCGAGAACCCCTGACCAGAACATCGGTCTTGTTTTGAAAAAAGATTTCGAAAATTTCTAAATCGAATTTTGATCTTGGTTGGGTGTAACTGGTGCTGAACTTTGACTTTGCTACAAACTACATCACTGAAAAGAGCAGCATTCGAGGGCCCCTAAATCCGAAATTTGGTCTTGACTGGAGCAATTTCGCCACTAAACTTCGATTCTAAAATTTTCTTGCAAATCCCGGTTTCACATCTGAAGCGACACTGGATAGGGGGGGGGGGGGAAGGGTTTACAATGCTTGGTATCCTGAGGAGCTCGTAATCATAGCGAGTCCGAGTGTGCCTGGCAGGCACATCACTAAGGTATAGGAACCTGCGTGATTGCGAGAGTCAGACGTGCGTACGGCCATTGCGCCGCGCACGTCTGACTTCACTGAGGCAGGTGCCAGACTTACCCTGTTTGACCGGTTTGTCCGTTCACTCATTCGCTATTGGTCAAATCAATGCACTGACCAGCAGCAGAGGGGTGAACCGAATAAACCTGTTGAACAGGGTAATGGCCCTCATTGAGTCGTGGGACGGACATCGACGTGCACGTCACAATGGCCCTATGCACGTCCGACTCTCGCGATCATGCAGGCCTCTTTACGAGAATATGGCTCGGATGAAAAACTTCCGCTCCCTCCTCCCTATGAGACCTATGAGAAATTCGTCGTCAGTGTTTACCACTTTGCAATCCCCTTATGTATCTGACCCTGACTGTGTAGTTCAACACCCATAGAGGTGTTACACGGAGCCAATTCTTGTTTCGATAATGCATTTGTCATTTCTGGGTTTTGGAGATGATCAAAAGATCTTTTGCGAGCTATCGCTTCGCGCTCGTGCGACAAGATCGTGACAGTTGTTGCGAAATAATTGTCATTAATATGCCTGCGATGAGCACCTGATTTAGTAGATGTACAATACCGCTCATAATTCGTCAAAAAAGTCGCCGGACTGCGGCGCACTCCGCCACACTCCGCCACAGTGCGCCGGAGTGTGGCGGAGTGCGCCGCAGTCTGGCGACTTTTTTGACGGATTATGAGCGGTATTGTACACTTTCGACTTACCGAGGCCGTAGGGTGCTTCTCGATCCTTACATATAAAAGCCTATCAGTTTCGGCATTGTTCGGTTGTGCTTATATCTTGGCATGATAATCACTTGTATCGTGTCGTTCTTGTCGTTTGAGCCCGAAATCCTAGCAAGCAAAACGTTAAAAGCGTTCTGGATAGCTGCTAAAAATCCAAAAATGAACAGAAAAGACTAGTGCATTGCGATCACCACCGAACTTATCAATCCCTCTGTGGATTTGCATGAAGTCAGGTGAATTGTTCGTATAAAAGTGAGGTTGAGGCACAGTTTGGCATAAGGTGGTCTGTTTTTCGACTATCGCTTGTACTACGTCTAAGGTTAGTAAGAAGTGTTTTTGGCTTTGATTCTGCGCTTTGGACTAATCTTCTTTTCGACTTGTTTTGTCTTTGTTCTTGACGTGTGATCGCATAGTCACTTATGACTTCGGCTTTCCAAGAAGGCGTTGAACGCCGAAACGTCGACGTCAGCCAATAAAGTATTGTTACCAATCTTGATGTAGCTTGAAAACACCTATCAATTTCCTCTATGGATGACCTCGAATAATTATGTGAAGGTGCTGTGTGGAGATGTCTCCAAGAGGTGCGAACTTGACGCGAGTATAAACGCTCTTTTTTCGAATGTGATTCCATCAACTTTTGGATCACTGTCATCCAAAATATGCTCAACAAAGCTGAGCACTTCACAGAAGGTATGCAAATTTTTGAAAGAAGTTCACCACTCCAGTTCCTCGCGACAGCCGCTTGTGCAAACTGGTATCAAAGGTAAGCATGGCTATTAGGCCTACGCTATGACATTTTACGGATTTGGCAAGAATTTGCCACGCCCTTTACCGACTCGCCATATTTCGGTTACGAGGAGGTGCCTGTCTGATCATTTCTATTATCGTATAGTACAGATTTGTGTTGTGACACACTAATTATTGAGTTTTCAGTCCCCTTGAGAGGTTTGCGGTAAAAGTCATACAATATGATGAAGTTGCAAGCAAGTGTCTGTGAATCCGTACTAATTAGTAAATGTGGTGCAAACATGCCTTCCCTATCTATTTGTGTACATGCGAGTAAGTGATAAGAGAATGGTTTTTATGCACGAATCAGGATCCACTTGGCCATTTGTAACTTTGTGGATGGTGGCTGTACATGAAGGAGAACGCAACGGCTCCTTCTGTAGAAAGTGAGAAGTGCTGCGCAGTTAGTCGCCTAAGTACTTCGTTTTGAGGCTGTCCCGAAGTGGTTCTCCATCTTACTGAGCACGAGAAGTCGATACCACTTTACGACTTACCATCACTGTTGCTCATGCGATGGATTGTCACACCTTCTATTAGTCATAGAAAGGTCAGCCATTAGACGCTTACATACACTAGTTCAGAATTCGAGACATATTAGGCTAATACTTTAAGAGAAAGCAATCAGAACATTCCTCAAATATAATAGCTTTGTGCGAGTGTGTAAATCTTGCCTGTCAAGAAATCTGTTTACGAATTAGCGAACTACGGTCAGCTGAGATTGATCTTGCATAATATTATTCCACGAAATAGATTAAAAATGCGCGCGTAGAGGAGAAGTGATGCGCAGCTCCTTCAAAAATCGTCAAACTATTTTTTGTGATGGGCTTCATAATCGCGAGTCATCCTTCGCAGAGGTTGGCACCTTGTACTATCTACGCCTTCCTCATGCTTGCATAATGATGGTTTTGTAACTCAGCGCAATACAGCACCAGAATACATGGTTAACTAACACTCAGTTCAAAAGCTTTCCCATGTAAGATTGACCTTGGGTTTCCCTTATTACTGAAGTTTCAAAAGCAGCGTCTAGGAAAATCTGTTTTCTTTACCTGGGAACTAATGAGTGCTAGCTAAGGCACGCCCAAGCGGCAACGCAAATGACTCATTTACGGCTGAGAAATCCGTCCTTAATTTTTCGCGCCCGCGCCATGTAACCCGAAAATGATTTGATTCATTCTAACACTATGTTCGCGCTGACCCATCATGAGTCACTCGCCAGTTATGGTCAGCCGCAGGCGCGGAGTGTTTGAGGATGGATTTTTCAAAAGTGAATGCTTCATGTGTGCTGCCTTCTGGGTATTGCCTTACCGAGGACTTTCTCATCAGCTTCAAGGCAAAAAATCTATGCATTCACAGATTTGCCTGGACACTGCCTTTGAGGTTTGGCAGCCACTGTTAGGGCAATGACCATCGCCAGCTACATCTCTGAGCAAAGAACTTCTCAACTTCTTGGGTAAAACCTTGACAAAGCGACCGATCGACCACTTTTTGGTCTGCTTTGCAAAAAACAAGCTTTTTGCTTACTTTTTGGACTGTAGTCGATAGCTTGGTTAATTGATTCTGTCAGTTATCCACCAATTTGACACCCCAACGAATACCTTGACAGAAACAAAGGTGTAACATCGGCAAAAGAGCCCATTTACGACCAACACACCACAAGTCAGTCACTGTTATTGAAGGACCCCTAGTACAACTTCGAAGATTCCAATTACTGGAGTAAACCTAAGGCTCCGCCTGAGGTGGCGGAGCTACGCCAGCGCGGCAGAAAGATCACCGAATTAGCGCTGCACCGGCACAGCGCTAATCCGGTGATGGTCCTGACGGGATTTTCGGTCAATGCATCGAAAATACATTGAAAAATCCCGTCGCGACCATCGGCAGTGCTGTGCCGGCGCGGCGCTGTCGTAGTGCTGGCGTAGCTTCGGTACTCTGGAGGGAGCTACGGTGGCCGTGTTTCGTCTTCCGCAGATCCGAGCCATCTGTCTGGAAGCGAATCGCTGTGTATACTTGATAAACTTGTGCTTTCACAAAGAAGTGCAAACTTTTTTGCAGGTTTGCTATAGTGAGTAGATTGCTGCACTTGCCAGGAGGGCTTTTGATGTAAGGACACTTACATCATTTTTGTCACGTCGGCGGGCGTTATGGGGAGGCGTTCTTTTTGAACTCTTCATACACTGTGATGCAGCATCCATGAAACGAGCGCATGCTCGCAAGTGTTTCGCCGTGACATTGTATTCTCGAAAGGCGGCCGGGCGGAGGTAAGAAAGCCGCTCCTGCTTATGGACGTACCTACTGGTTTTCACCACGATGATTACTTCTTCGCACTTCAGGCTACTTGATATGACCTATGCCCAACCTATTTGAGATAATTTGAAAGTAAAACTTGGTTTGTCGAATTTTCCCGGCTCCTCATGTAGTTCTTGTAAATTTTTTTAAACATTCCTTCTGATCGACAATGTGCAGAGACTTCCAGCTTCGTACGAATTTGAACAGAATTATCGTCGAGTCATTCGTAACTCAATTTGAGTAGCGCACACTTTACACGTTAACTGACGAACTGCGAAATTAGAACTTGCTCATTTCCAGTGATTTCTCTTTGTTTTTTTGTTTCTTTTGTTTTAGTTGGTTTTATATCAGCCAGTAGAACACATTCCTACGTTTTGTTAGGCTATAAAATGTTTTACTGGGAAGTTACTAGTGTGGGTGCCGTCGCTAATAGGGCTTAGTGTGCAATTTCACATATTAAGTTAGAAATGACTCGAGGTTATGCTGAACGTGATTTTCAATAAGTTGAAACCGATATCTGTGATTGAAGGGACTTAAATGTACTGAAGTGGGCTGAATGAAGTAATTAAAGGTGCAAAGATTGATTAGAGGCACAAGGAAGTCTGTAGCTCCTTAGGCATTTCCAGAAGATAGGAATTTGGCTTTGCCGCTTCCCGCTTAAAGGCAGTGGATTGGCAAAATCCAACAACACGGGATTTTTACGCGGTAGGTTCCTTATCGCCCAAGTATGAGAACAGTGCAATCGCGGTGCACAGCATGCTTTCCCTGCCGAGAAAATCGCTCTCAAACTTACACGCGCAGGCCAATCTTACACGCATCTGGACGAGTTGGCGATTTCCTTTTTACCATTGGAGGCTGCCCGCCGCAACGCCATAACCATTGGGTTCTGCCACGATTTAGCGTCATCGGCCTTACTCCACTCGTCCAATTCCAAAGGCAAGGGCATAAAAAAACGCTCATTTTCGCCGTCTTCAAGCTTTCAAAAGTGGATTTTCGAGATCAGTGTATTGAAAAACCCCAGGTAAGCGCAAATGTGACTAGATTGAGATTTGTCGAGCCACTGCCTTTAACGCCTTGTTAGAAGTTCTTGATTTAGTAAATTCGATCAAACAAGCAAAGTCCGCTTAGCTCACCTGATCTTTCGCGTTATCATCGCTGTGTATATATATCACGGCAAGAATGTATTTAAATATAAGCGACATTGCAAACAAGGGCTTATACGAAACGAAAAGCACATGAGGGAACCAAATCATAGGCTTTGGCCATACGATTTGGCAATACTCCAATTGTACATGACCTATCGTGCGCGCATTAGTGTGCAGAATACAGGGCATATTTTCAATCAATCTACAAAAGCTGTGCAGATTATGTATTTGCGGTCTGCCACTGTTGGATTTGAAGACGTCTGGCAGATTGCCAAATCGCGTCTGCCTGCAAGACATTGCATAATAATGCGATACAAGACACAAGCGTGTGCAGTTCTTAATCGTACTTGTGCGCGGTCCTACTTGGGAGCTATGACTTCTTGGCAGAAACTTTATGCAGATATGGAAGGCATTTGGTATCAGGTTCCCTATGGAGCATTGTACAATACCGTTCACAGAATGTGCAAAATTTCCGTGAATGTCGCAAAATTTCCGGAATTTCGCGAAGGTTCGCGAAATTCCGGAAATTTTGAATTTTGAATTTTGCGATATTCACGGAAATTTTGCACATTCTGTGAGCGGTATTGTACAAATCATCTTGAAGGGCCACTTCAACTAACAATCCCTTCCCTTCAGTAATTCTTAAAAGTTGTCAAACCGTGGTGACAACTTGCTTTGCTAATCAAGAATCTTTGTGATCTCTCAAACTTGAGTATGCTTTACACATTATTATACATTTTTCTAACATGGTATCTACTTGCGATGCTCTATTTGACAGAGTAATATGCACTTTGTCTTTATGTATAAAGAAGAAGAGTTAGGAACTTGATAATTGAAGAAACTGGTAAAATGCAGAGCGAGTGCGAGTCCAATATGCGTATAAAAAACAATATGTTATTCAATTTCTTTTTCACACTCTGGTTTTGGGGCTCAAACTAGACCAGATGTGTGGCCTTCCTATGTTGACTCCTCACGGAGAAAAGAATGAAACCATTTATCAAATCTGTTTCAGCACAGTGGAGCTGCACGATAATTGCAAAACCTTGCAGATTCCATGATTAGGATCACGATGTCGTTTACCACGGCCCCATAGCTTCATTTCTACGCGTTTTTTTGACTTCTGCAATCCTCATGTCGGGCCTCAGGGAAAAAGTGCATGCGATGTATCCTACTATCCTACTATAATAATGCGCTAACGTCTGTTTTTTGGGTATGCCTGTCAAGAAATATAAAGCGACTTACAAACATGTTTCAGGCCAAATATTTGCACAACATACAGTACTGGCATGTAGGTCCATTATGCACAAAGACGAGCCCTGACACGCTCCTATAGAAAATGCATGTCAAACGTGCCCACGCGGTTTTTGGCCCTCAAAACTGTTTTAGTATACAGACTGCGATGTTAAAATTTTTTGTCTAATATGTAAATCTGCCAGCCACGGAGTTTAGCCCAATTGGCGCTAAAAATGATTTGCGTAGATTGTCAGTTTGTCAAGGTTTTACCTAAATTCAGAAAATTTTTGCATAGCGATGTATCTAGGGATTAACGTTTACGGTGACTATCGAGCCAGATAAGATGCAGTAAGGTATTCCATTCGTTCTTCTTCAGGAAAGTTTCTAACTTAGGGTTACAGACCTTAAAGAAGAGCTATAGACTTGAGATCCTTTCCAAATCATTCATGGTGATCTACGTTGCGCCGTGAGTTTCACAGTCATCTTCCGACGAGCTCGGAAGGCATACGGATAGTAGAATCAGGAAGAGCCTTTGAGAAACACAGTGACGCACTAGTATCGATATTTACGATAGGTTTTCTGTGTGAGCACGTGATCTGAGTAGCGCCACAGCTGCTAATAATTACTTGGCTAATCTTCAAGCAGATAATCGGATATCATGATGTACAGTTTCAATTTTGATTACAAATAAATACAGTGGTTACAGGTAATAGCACAACTTATAGCCGGAGGTGAACAAGAACTAGCTTTTGGATTACCTTTCAAAAGTGTTAGTTTTGTTGCTAGAATGCATACGTAATTCTAATTTTGAATTTAGACCCGATTTATTTTGTTTTTTGTGCTCGGTGTTGTTATGTTGCTACTATCTCCTGCTCTGGTTGCCTTTATGTTTATTCTAAGAAGAAAAAAGGACTCTAACTATGTGCGTCTCGAAAATGCTTGTAAGAGGATTTGTTGCAGCAGAACCTTTTAGGAACCTAGTGATGAGATCATTCTAATTGTTATATATGTTGCTTTGGTAATCTTGTCAGTTTTGGCGGGAATACTTACATTATTACTTATTTGGAACCATGAAAAAATTGACCAGTCACCATCTGCAGTGATAAAACGTTACGGTAAGTGTAAGTTCGCTATCAAGACAACAAATATGTACTCACTTTATGTAAGTCAAGTTATTCGAGTAGAGGAACGAACACCTCAGTTAGCCACCACCTCCCCGAGCTGCTGGTCCTTTTTTCCTACTGTTGGGCATCGTGCTGGGACCAGTAGTCCGTGGAAGCGGTGTAACAAAGGTTTTCATTCCTCCGCCCAAGTCATTTCATATGATCATGTGTGCATCGCACACATTGCATTTTTGGTATCCTCACCAGGATTTGCAATTACAAAAACGTTGGAAGCTGAACGAGTTATCGCTTACATCACTTCGATGAGAGTAGTACCTAGGGAAGAAAACAGAAAGAAATTACCAAAAATGAAGGGGTGTCTACTGGACGAATTCAGGATGAAATCGCCAAGGATACACAATGTGTGCAATCACGCACATAATCACTGAAATGACTCGACGTGGACATCAATTCTCATGAAACACTGCGATTGCTAAGCGTACGCGAGGGACAATTGGAAAAAGAATTTGCGTCTTTGCCATTTGCGGCTGCCTCTTGGCGTATTCATGGAATACGGCCACAACAACCCAATGATTTGTCCGAAGAAGAGGAGAATAGGCAACAAGAGAAAACATTAAAAGGAGAAATATGTCGATTATCTCATCATCACGCAGAACCAGGGTCTGGCACACATTCAGTGGAAACAGGCTGGACTTCGTTTTTGCGACAAAAAGCAAAAGGGATATCGTTTTTGCGGGGTTCGGGGCAGAGCCTCTGAAAATTGTATATATGCATTACTAGCGATGTGGAGCAGGACGGCAGAAACTGTGTGCAAGACAACTTAACACACTTCCTGTAGTGCGAAGCGACCACTCAGTCAAGCATAAGCTGTGAAAACACTAATTACACGGTCGACGTGCTCCATCATCATGTCTTGCGAAAAGCGCGCGCGGTTTGAAAGCAAATCCTTAGTTAAAGGCAGGTCCAGGCAAATCTGGGCGCATGGGTTTTTTCGCCTGGACTGACGAGGGGGTTCCAGCTAAGGCAGTGCCCAAATCACAGTACAAATAATTTTTCACGGCTGAGAAATCCATTTTCAAACTCCGCACCCATGCGGTAGCCGTAATTCGTGAGTGACTAGATGAGTCCCAGCGCGAATGTATTGTCGATATAGCGAAATCATTGTCGTTACAGTCACGGTACAGAAGCGAAGGGTTTGGGGACGCATTTCTTACCCGCGAATGGATCATTTGCGCTCACCTATGCAATGCCTTAGCTTGGATCTCTCATCAGTTTTGTGCCGATATTAGTGGCGCCCGTTTCGTCCGCTATCGCTCGTTGCGTTCTTTTCGTGCAAGCGGTCACCATTTTGCGACCTTATGTGATATAAGTGCGCGTAAAAAATATTTTTGGTTCCGTCTGTTATCACCATAATTCTACCACTGCACCACCGCGTGCGGTTAAGCTCTCAATAAACTCTCTGACTATAACTTTTGTTGTGTTTCACATTTGTACGGGCCCACCTTCGCCCATTTCTCAAAACCCTTACGCTTAAAGTCGACACAAGTTTCCAAGCGAAAAATCCTCGTACCCAAGTTTGTCTGGGCACTGCCTTCAACAAATTGGTTGTTTACAACGCAGAGACAAGCAGATGACACCAAATTCGGACTGTAGGCATAGAGTATTATTCACCGAAGAATTATTTAGAAAGTCTGAAAACATACTCTCTCATACGGCTATCATACGATCTGAGAATCGTATTATACCTACGTAACACAAGTTTTAGATTTTTCTATTATGGACGGATTTCCCGGTCAAGAAGTTGTCCCTGAGCATGAAGACATTTTCATTTGCCTTTCCTTTGTTTCTTGTCTCAATTTCTTCGTAGATCGCTTTTTGAATAACGCGCTCCAATGTTAAGCTCTTGTACAATCTGCCCCAATCGGGATCAGGCCGAATCGCTGGCTGAATTTGCGCTCTCGCAACGCTAGGGGTCTGCGCTGCATCTCCTCGCTGTCGCAGAGAGCGAAGAAATTGAGGAGAGAGCAGACTGGCTAGGCGTAGACATGACGCAATACCTTCGCGACACGGGTTCCCGCCATGCCAATTTTGGCCTGGTTGGGATTGGGGCAGAGTTACATTCGTAGTATTCAACTCCACTTCGATTCACTCTTACTTCAACTTTTCCTTTCAGACTAGTGACTCTTTTTAGTTTTCATCTCCTAATTCGATAGGTTTCCGAAAGAGGTTAAAGGGGACCATTTTCGAAAACCTGGGAAACATCGTTTTCAAAACCCTAGTAACCGACTCCTGCCGGACCCTGTGCAGAACTATAGCAAGGCAGAAAATGCAAAGCCTAAATTGTTTGAAAACCTCTAGTTACCATTAGTTGGGCATAAGCTACAGAACATATACTCAAATTTTCCGTATTTGTGCAAAATAATGATGAGGCATGCATTGATGACACTATATTAGCTTGTTCTTCACTTCTAATCTGGAGGTGGGGGGGGCATCATTCATCTTAAGACTAGGATGCTCGAGAACGCTCTGCGTACGTCTGATTAATGAGTTCCCAGTTGCGCTCCAGCGCGTTTGGATATTTTACAACTTTGATCGTAGGAAACATTTTTGATTTTGTTGAACAGTGCATACAACAACGTTTCGTATATGTTAGTCTTAGGCCTCGGACAGAGTTCACGCAACTTCATCGTCACGCAATTCTTCGAACAAGACAAGAGTAACGAGTCCATTGCATACCGCGTTTCGGTTGCAGTACTTTTCTTTCGGCATCTCTTGCATTTTAGTTGTGATGGTTAATCACGATTAGTCGTGTCGGAAACTATCACAACCGAAATGTAGGGCATCGGCGTGCAATGGACTTGTAACTGTTGTCTTGTTGAAGGGTCGCGAGGAGATGAAATTGCGTGAACTTTGCTTAAGGCTCTAGATTTAGTAATATATTTATACGTAAATACAGTGCACAATTTCTATCACTTACCATCGAACCATTTTGCCGCACCTTTCAGCTGCAATATACAATAGTTGCGCAGGGACATGCAGGATTCCTTGTTGCATTTAGTTCTTTGCCGACTTTCTCATTCACTTCAAAACTCATGTTTTGAAGACTCTTCATATACTGTTGTTACAGTACACTATGATTTATAGTAAATTAGCAAAGGTATAATCGGAGCGTTCTTTGAAATAAGATTCTGATCGATGAACCTATCAGAAGTTGACAGCTGCCTCGTTAACAAAACCCTCGCCACAGAGAGCTCGCGTCTGATCAGGCAACGACCTGGCAGATACAGTCCCTGATTAGGATACTAGTACATAGTAACAGGCAGCGATCCAATCAGGAACCTGTACTATACTACAGGGGTCGATACAAAGCGACGCAGTAAAGTCGTGGTCTCGAAACATTTGCAAGAAGTGGGTCTCTCATAACATACAATATCCTTACCTTTGCAGATTTGTACGAACTTTTGCGACATCATAGAGTCAGGCTCAATTGCTTATTGAGTTTTGATCTTGTAGCGGAAGAAGTTAAATTCGAAGGATCGCATGAAGTTGAAGAGGCGGCGGGATTACTTCTTGATGCACATGCCGCTCGAGAGGTACCTTTTGTGTTATCCTTCTAGTGTAAACCTGTGCACTTTTGAAATGTCTTCTTTATTAAGGTTTTGAGCTACAAACGTACATTAGATGACCTTCTTGAAAGTCTCTTTTTCGGTAACAAAAAGCAGGAAGAGAGAAAGGTAGACTGTTTCTACATTGTCACGGTGTAATCCACTTATTTTTACCTATCACTGCAAAAAAAACATAATCAGAGCAAGACTGGCCTACATTTAATTTAACAAAATCCGCATGAGCTTTCTATCTTTCTTGGTTGAAGTGTTGATCAAAGCTTCATGATAAGTGTTGTAACAACTCCCTATCACAGATGTCAGTTTACAGGCAAAACGTCTGCTCAAGATGCCCATCACTCGTGATACTTTGAATAAAGCACTTCTGTCCACATACGCGCAGGTATAATCTTCTATCCTCAATCGCCACTTTCCATTCAAGATTACGAGGTCTTTTTAACACTACACCTGTTTAAATTACTTTTCGTTGCCTCGAGCGAATTTTTTGCTGCATATTCCGCCTCTTTTCCAATTCTACTTTCCTCTTTCTTCTGTTCCTTTTCGTGTATCAGGTGCATCAGCTCATCAGGAAAACGAGTGATCGTTTCTTTGACATATCTTAGACACATATACAAAAGTGTTGGACACTTTCATGAATCCGCGCTGGTAACGTTAGGTTGGAAACCAAGTCTTGCAATTCTTTTCCTAAGTCTACTCTTAGATGCGCGCAATAACACTTTGGCATTATGTAGAACGTAATGACTGCTAGATTTGAGCACAAACTGTATGAAACATGAATAGAAAAAAATCCAGGCATTCATCGAAAACTAATAAACTTCGAGATTAGCCAAAACTGGCTGGCATACCCGGCTCCGGCCGTCCGTCTCAAAATATGATAAAAGTTACTATTCCTATTCCTATGCAAACTTTTGTGCCCACTTCTACATGCCAGTTTCCTGTCCCCGTTTTGTTTTCGTAATCAGCATGCCCACTTACCCCCCCCCCCCTCTGTTCCAATTCCCAGTCCCGTAGCTCAAACTTTGCAAAATTCGATATAATCGATAAAAATAATTGATAATTTTGAAGACTAATATTGTTGCCCATGTTCGATCCTTTGAATCTTGACATTTTTGGTAGTAGTGGACACTGTTTGTGAGCGGTACTCCAAGGTCTTAAAGTAACGCTCACAAACAATACAGTCTGCCCCAATCCCAACCAGGCCAAAATTGGCATGGCGGGAGTCTGCGCCGTTAGGGTTTTGCGGTCACGCCCGCGGCCTGCTTCTCTGCTCTCTCTTCAATCCTTTCGCTCTCTCCGACAGCGCGCATATGCAGCGCAAACCGCCTAGCGCTGCGAACGCGCAAATTTACGCCGGGGTTCGGCCTGGTCCCGTTGGAGCAGACTGTCTCTACATTTGTATTCATAGTCAGCATGCTCATGCTCGCTTACCCCTCCCCCCCCCCTCCCCTCTCCTCCCGTGCCAACTCCCAAGACCGTAGCTCGAACTTTGCAAAAAATCGATAAAATCGGTAAAAGGTGGAATTGGTCGATGACGAAAAGTAGCCTGCAATACTCGCCCCGCCACGAAGTGTATATTTGCAAAGCTTAGTCCGGACTGGTTCAGAAATGAAAATTTCTATTTGGAACATTTTTACACACTGACGTACAGCCACACAGAGACAGACAGACAGACAAAAAGACGATCAACTTTATATATAAGATGAACGTTAGCAACCTAACTGTGCAATGATCCGAAGCTGTGCGAATGGTTGACTCCATTGGCTAAGTAAGAAAGAAATGAAATCTAAAGGCAAGTTGAGGTTTGGTGCCTTTACAAAGTCGAAAGAGTCGCTGTAAGCGAGTGCTGAGGACAACCCCCAATGACAAAGGAGTCGGAATTCCAATATTTGCTTCGATTTTGCATAGTGGGATTATTTGGCTCGCCAAACACAAATAACTATCCATTTTTGAATCAGCGCCTCTTTTCTTAGGGTGAGATCTTATGCGAGCGCGAGCCTACGTTTTTGTTCCAAAAAAACCTCTTACCATGCAATTTCAGTATCGTCTTCCTTACCAACATGTTGGATAGGCCCCCTATGCCAAGTTTTAGCCAAATCTTATATTTTCTAATTTTTCTGCTTTATACCTACCGTAGCCCACAGACCTCAGACCTCAGAATCTAGCAGAACTGCAGCTGCACTTAGTTTACGTTAATCTACATAATAAGATTGCGTGCGCTATAAAGAAAAAAATATTATGAAAAAGTTGCAAATTAGTTTCCAACCCAATAAAATTATTTTGGCTTATTGTCTGTACAAAGTTTCGCCGTTCTGGGTATATATCGACGTATCATCAACACTTAAGACCGCTCCTAATGTGCCTGATTAGCTGAAAATACCTGTGGCGGCTCGGTGGCTCTAAGCACCTAGATCTAACCCGAGTAACCAGGGCTCGCCCATTTAAACATACGACGCAACCTACCCCACTAATTTGCCCTAGCGCGTCTAGACAAGAAAGTAAGTACTAAATCTTTATCCTTATGACATCAAAGAAACAGTAAAAAAGCTACAAAAAACCTTCAACTAAACAACAAAGAAAATTGCCAAAAAACTACCTAAACTACTAAACGATGATAGAGCTCAACACGGGACGAGCTGCCCCGTCCCATGCTACCGATGAGGCGCGTCTACTATAAACTTTAACAATAATGATGCTCCCGAGGCTTCACATAAACAGATCCGCCGCGCGTCGCCGGATACCAGGCGCGACATCCTCCCCGCTCCCAAAGTTCACAAGATTCTGATATCTCAAGGCCCGAAAGTCCCAAAGGTGGCTCGTCCAAAGGCAATCCAGAAACCTTGAATTATAATCTACGATGGATTTCGATATGCTCAACCGCACTGCAAAAGTAATATCAAAAGCGGGAGCTAAATGCCAGGCACGAATATAATGATCAAAGATGAGAAAAGATAATCGATCGAAAAGGAAGCAGACACACGCTGCAATGAGGCGCCGACGCTATGGCTGCGTTCATACTGATTCCCATGTTCTGGAACTGTTCCCGCACAGTTCTCGCACTGTGCTGAAACTGTGCGGGAACTGTGCGGGAACTGTGCGGGAACTGTGCGGGAACAGTTCCAGAACTGTGCTGCATGCGCTGCAGCCGCCCCGCACCGTTTTGAACGGCGGGAGTTGGAGAATTTTGACCGTTCTCAACGGTTTTTCTTCCAGATTTCGCTCATTTTGGCCTTAATCCTCCACCCCGCTTCCCTTTTTGATCAGCAGCACTGCGAACTCGAAGCGGGGTTGAAGAATGAGCGCTTTTCTGCGCCGTGTATTCGGAAAGATGGGCTATCGTGCGATTGTTCATTCTGTCTTCTTATTTTTTGCTCAAAACTACTTCATTTGTTCCAGGAAGCGGCTGCCCAGTTTCCATAGCCATCTGCCACGAATTAGGGAGTAGGAGAAATCCTGAAATTGATGAGTTGGGACTTGTCTCTTGTTTTTCATGATTTTGGGCGTTCTTAGCCTTTTTCCATGTCGTTGCTTCTCCGTTCTTTCTTCTACCCCGCTTCCCCTAGTGATGAGAAAAGCTGTGAATTTGAAGCGGGGTTGAGGATTGAACGCTGTTCTGCTCCATGTATCCGGAAATATGGGCCTTCGTGCGCTCGTCCATTCTCTCATCGCTATTTTTGTTCAGACCTACTTCATGTGTTCTAGAGACTTGTCTATTTCAATTTTAAGACGATGCGAGACTACGCAGCGACTTGTTAGTACAAATGAATAGGTCTGAACTAAAATAGCGATGAGAGAATGGACGAGCGCACGAAGGCCCATATTCCCGGATACATCGAGCAGAACAGCGTTCAATCCTCAACCCCGCTTCAAATTCACAGCTTTTCTCATCACTAGGAGAAGCGGGGTAGAAGAAAGAACGGAGAAGCATCGACATGGAAAAACGAACAAGGCTAAGAACGCCCAAAATCATGAAAAACAAGAGACAAGTCCCAACTCATGCAATTTCAGGATTTCTCCTACTCTTTAATTCGTGGCAGATGGCTATGGAAACTGGGCAGCCGCTTCCTGGAACAAATGAAGTAGTTTTGAGCAAAAAACAAGAAGACAGAATGAACAATCGCACGATAGCCCATCTTTCCGAATACACGGCGCAGAAAAGCGCTCATTCTTCAACCCCGCTTCGAGTTCGCAGTGCTGCTGATCAAAAAGGGAAGCGGGGTGGAGGATTAAGGCCAAAATGAGCGAAATCTGGAAGAAAAACCGTTGAGAACGGTCAAAATTCTCCAACCCCGCCGTTCAAAACGGTGCGGGACGGCTGCAGCACAGTTCTGGAACTGTTCCCGCACAGTTCCCGCACAGTTCCCGCACAGTTTCAGCACAGTGCGAGAACTGTGCGGGAACAGTTCCAGAACACGGGAATCAGTATGAACGCAGCCTATATATAGCCTTTTGGCTGGCAACGCGCCAAGGCGAGGAGAGGTCCAGCGGCGATTGCGACAAGCGTGGGAAAGTATCGTAATCGTCGCCAGATAGCGCGGCAGCAACCAGTGCTCCCGGCCTCCTACTTCTAGGAGCGCTGGTTCCGCTGAGCCTCGACATACCCTTAGGCCCCGGACAGACTTCACGCGACGTAGTCGTCGCGATCTAATCGCCAAGATTTCCATTCATTTTCATTTCACATTCAAAAATTTCGGGCTGTGAAAGTAGCACAACCGAATGCAAGTTGATCGGCATGGAATGATGTTGTAACAGTTGTCTCGTCGCGATTTAGTCGCGACGATCAAATCGCGTGAAGTCTGCCCGGGGCCTTAGGGGAGACTTATAGTCTGTGTCACTGCAGACTCTGTCCACCTTTGGCGCCCCATCCTGGGATTGCAATCGCAAAAACGCAAGAGACTACTTGATTGTTATCTATTGCACCACTTTGTGAATATTGGTACCTAAAAAGGAGTAAAAGCATGAAAAAATACCGGAAATTAGTAGAGGGGCTGTTTGTTTCTAAAATCCAGGATGAAAATGCCAAAGGTGGACGGTTGTGCAGTGACATACATGATCAAATGAAATAGTTCGACTGTACGTGCTTGCCGAACTATATAAACGAAAAGCGGGCAGCAAAGCTCGCAAAGTAAAAAAGTCTCTGTGAGAGACCACCGAATGTGCTTCGTAATGTTGAGGTAATGACGTTTGCGAGAAATAAACTAAAGGTGCACTCCAGCCTGCAACCGTAGAGTCAAACCACTTGCATTAGATATTTGAGTATCTTGTCACCTGACGATTGACTCGCTTTTATAGTTATCCTCATGAACATATAAGACTTCCTGCTAAAACAGAGACCTAGAATCAAAAACAGCAACGCAGAGATTTTTCCTGCATAGTTTATTGCACGAGAAAACAAGTCTTTTTCATACAGGGGGTTACTGGGACCATTGACGAGTATGCCAAGATAAAAGATTTGATTGTAAAGGTAAGACAGTCTTCCGGCAGTGTAAAGAATTTCATAAAAGAACATTTTTAGATCATTGAGCAGGTAGCTCTGAGGCTTAGACAGCTGCAGTTTAGAACAGCTGGATTGTTTATAAATGTGAGATGTTGTTGTCTAGATGCAGCACTTTATGAAAAATCAAGAAATTTACCATAACACCTATCTTCAAGGGTATCTCAACAGTGATTTCTTGGGTGTGTGTGCTTGCGGCTATTGTAAGTGTATGCTGTTGTGTTCTTGTCAAGGCAATCTTTCTTTCAAGGTTCGTTGAAAAAGCTGTTGTTTTTGCTGTATCCAAACTGCCACATTACCTAGACTTTGCACCCTTTTAAAACTTCAAGCAAGTGAAAGCAGTTCCATATCCGACCATCCCTCACTAATTAATCTTCCTGTTAATATCAAGCTACTTTCCCTTCTTTGCGTGACGTTTTTTGCTGTGTGTGGTTTCACTATGTTCTTGTTGTACTTGTGAGTCTCTTTTATCATTATAAAAAATTCATTGCATGCAGATAGTAACTTTCACACCCTTGCATACAAGTGTATACTACAGCAATCAATTTGAAGCTAGATTTTGCCTTTAGATGAATATTCTGTGTTGTAATGCAAATCAAAGCGAAATTGACCGAGTCTGACCTCACAAAGGAAGGATACCAACCAAAGTTGGCGATTGAAGACAAGATCTATATCAGTAGCCTTTATGCTGACACCAAATCTGCTTTCCTTTCCTGCGACAACTTTCGGAAAGAAGTTATGAGCATTTGAATGTTCAAATTTACCGCGCTTTACTGGGCATAGAATCAGAAGAAGCAAAAGCACTACGCGGACTTCTACTGCCTGTGTTCTTTACTCGTGTTCATTGTACTTGATACAAGACGATTAACCTCTTCAGGTGTTTTTGGTCCCTTTTTGTTAATTTTATGCCTTAAGGCTTGACAGATTTGGACTTCCAAAGCTCTTGATTTTTTTATAGAGTTGTTCCGCGAAAGAGAAAAGCAGATTTGAAATCAGCGTTTGAAGGCGAGTCTAGTGATGTACTCGTTTTCAATCGCCATCCCAAGTCGGTATCCTTTCCTTATAAGTTATTACCATCCACTTTCAGTCGACTCCTGAAAACAGCAAGCACTTTGATCATTTTCCTTTCATTCCGCCAAAACTCCTGTATATAGTCTCCAAGAAATGTCAGAACATATGCTTAGAGAAGATTTCTTCCACGGCGTCACAGAAATTTGATTTTTTATACAGATGGGGTATGTACAATGGATATTTACTGACATTCTATGGCAAGAGCACGCCAATGAAAATCCAAGATTTTACCGCTGTAAACGTGAGCTTCGTCAATGCCCCAAGATACGATATGAGTCTTTCGTGAGCCAGCAAATCACTGATTGCAAGGTAATGCTTATATAGTCTTTCAGACGGTTTCTTTGGAAATGCAGAAAAGGTTCAAGCTTACTAGATGCTCTTGGTACGTGGAGATTTAGTGAACGTGAATTCATGCGGATTCAACAAATTGTAAGTGATTTAAGAACAAAAGCTCAATCTCTTTGCTCCAAGCAAGTACAATAAGACAGATTTTGTGTTTTTGTAATAAAAAGTTTTGAGAGAAATGATAAAACTAGATAGGAACACAAGAAATTCAATGTTTTCTGTATGTTTTTAGATTATCCGGTTTCGGAGCTTAGTATTAGACCGGTGGTGCAACTTCCCTGGCGCCCCTCGTCGGTAGTTCCCAAGGAGATTTCAAAATTAGCAAAATCAAAATAAAAGATGAGGTCTAAGCTATTACGAGAAGGTAGAATATAAGGAGATATGAGATAGGAGATAGGAGCATAATATAAGGAGATATAAAAAGTGTAAATTACGCAAGCATAAACTATATGCAAAGGAAATGACAGGTGTCATCCAAACAAATAGCAAATAACGTTTTCATTTTATTTTTTTCATCTTCAAATTAGAGTACCCTCGCCGTGACCTCAAAGCGCGTAGCGTCAGCCCACGTATCCTGGAGGTCACGTGAAAGAGACGAATGTACGGTACTAGGAATTCGTACTTACGCATCAAAAATGGTCTATCGGATAGCATATGATAGACTTACACATAAAAATATGATATCCCCATTTGTTTTAGAAGTCCTAGCTATTTCTATAACCTTTACAACTTTGCATACATAGCAGAGCTTTAGAATCTCGATCGTCAAATGTCAGTGCCAAAGCCAAATCCAGAATTTTTCGTAAAGTATATCAACGGCCTCATCAACGAGACTAAGGTAAGTTAATTAGATTGCGAGTTGGAGAGCGATGAATTTAATTCTATACCAAATAGCTAAGCGGTATCACTTGAACTTCATTACCGGAATGTTAATAAAGTGGGTTTCCTACTAGATTGTGCGTCTTATCGTGGGTTATGTGGGCACTGTTCAGTCTTTGCTCTGGAGCTTTAGCAGAATAGAAGTATTGTGTAAGGTGTTATGCATTAATGTAATTTCAGACTATGATGAAGTCTGCCATTACTAGTACACCCACGATCGCTGCTCGCAATGTTCAAGAAAACACTGAATTCCTTACAGTCCTCTCCTTAGCCTTCATCAGTGAGGCTGCGTACTTAATTGCAAGCTGCCTAAAACAAATTCAGTTATGATAGAATGCGTTGGGGTTCCCTCATCGTAAAGTTTATCATTTGGAGTCAAACCATCTTCATCTTCTTCCGTTTCAGCTCAATTGGGCGTTCAAAATTGTGAGACTCCCTCTGGATGAAAACGATATCCAGCTGTGAAATTGTCATCTCTGCCAGGCGCTGAGCGATCTATACGATCTAAGAGAATTTACTTGCCTTTGTGGGCCTTTCATTGTCTCTTCCGCCTTCCAACACCATTCGCGACCTGGGTTTTTGCTAGAAAACCTCTACTTGGCTCACGATAGAGGAAAATTTGATAGGTCCTTCTCAAAGTTTTTCCACCCTGATTTTGGTGTATTTGCCGTTGCAGTGCAGGAACTTGCAAGGAGAGTGGATAAGCGTATTTGGGTTGTGAGATCATTCTAAAGCCTACTGCATGACGAAGGCGCAAAAACAGTATTAGTTGAGCGGGCGCGAACACGACGTGCGCGTATCTTCACTGTGCCTCATGCGCTCTGCGGCTAATAAAGCCGCGTTCGCGCCCAAAAACATTGCGCCTTCCTCATGCAGCAGCCTAAAGTAAAGTGTAATTTTTTACCGTAACGACCGCCTTTCTCCTTATTGTGCCTCTAGTATAGCATGTACAAGGACATATAGCACTTATAAAATTTCATATATAAATATTGTCATTCAGTCTAGCTACGAAGCGTACTACTCTGTTTTTGGCAAAAGATCTACTGGGATAAACTTTCAGAATTTAATTGGAGCACTGCAAATGGCAAGTCCTTTGATAGACAACTGTTGTTTTGTACATAAGTGAGCGTTTCTTCAGGTGAAACAAATTGATGAGAATGATTTAAACGTCATTCAAAGAAAAATACCCAGTATGAAACGCAACTTTTCGGTAGGATCGTCAATAAAGGAAGCACTGGTAATGATTTATAATCCGCAGATTGTTATAATTACACCCCCGCGTCTAATCCATATATCATTTACTCTAAGACTAGAGAACTGAAAGACATGCTCAAAGAAATCATGTTACATACTATTTATTATAGTTGTAACGAGCGGATATTTTTATCGAATGAAGGAGTATCAAATAGTTAATTTTTGAAAAATTTGCCAACTTATGGATATCGAATAATTTCGTTTCAAAAACTTTTCGAACGAATTAATATCGAACAATTAATTTTCAGAAATTTTCGAATAAACGCATATCATTAGATTCCCGATTTTCATATCATTCAAATTCGAATATTGGAATACCGGCACTTTCGAACATTCGAACTTTCGAATATTCGAATAATCGAACTTGATCGACTGTTCGAGTAGATGAATATTCGAATTTTCAAATGCAATATTCGATTATTCGAATGCAATATTCGAGTATTTGAAGACATCACGAATACTCGAATATTCGAACAACTGTTCCTCTAAACTTCTCGAATATTCGAATATTCGAACAATTGTTCGAAACTTTTTCGAATTCGATGCATAACCTATTCCTAATGAACCAAACGCTTCCATTTTTTTGTTAAATAATGAGTTGAAACCCTTATAACACCAAATGAGGTAAAATTAAAATATAAGCTTCTAGATTAGAGCTCGGCACAGCTGGCACCGGGTCAAGCCGTTTTTCCGGGGTCCGGGGTTGAGAAAAGCCGTAAGAATGCCGATGGCATGCCACCGGCATGCTGTCCATCGAACAAAAAAGGCGTTGCTTTCAGCCAAAACTCATTGGTATGACACCAAATTTGGTGTGTGCATGCGCGTTGGGGGACTCGAACTATGGCCCAAAAATTTATGAAAACTTATGTGAATGAAAGCTGGCTGACTTTTTTCTGAATTAGCTGGCACCGTGCCAGCTGGGTGCCTTTGTTCACATAAGTTTTCATACTTTTTTTGACATAAAATGTATCTACAATGTAAAAGTTTACACACAGAAAAGAAACAATTTCATAATGTTTTCTTTCTAGCTTTTACAGCCATCTGAGAATTACTCGGTCCATAGTCGAGAGATCAGCTTTTTCTGCTTCTCAAGATGTGATTTAACACTTAAAAAGCTCCGAAAGCTGTGAAAAGTTGTTCCATGTCAGCATGCGTGAAAATCCTACTGCATACTTTTACATAATCTGAAAATAATGACGGGTCTTTAAAACAGGTCAAAGGAGACTTCGTACGAAATTTTCAAGATAAGCGCAACTTCGTTTTGAAATTTCCCTGGTGCCAGCTCGTGCCGAGCCCCCTTCTCTAGATGACCATCGAACATTCGAATAATTGTCTTTTGAAAGTCCTCGACTATTCAAATATTAGTAAGTCATTTTTCCAAGTCGGTTGAATGGACGAGTTACTCAAATACAGCCCTGTTTCATTCATTTGACTATTCGAATAATCGAATCGATGGATTTTCTCGAATATTTGGCTAATCGAATTTATTCGGAATGTTCGAATTGTCGAATATTCATCATTCAAATACGAATATTCGTTTCCATATAATATCTGCACAAACAGGACAAAGCGAAGAGTAGACGACACAAATGCGATAACATCCTCACCATGTGGAAAAATATGAACGAAATGCTGACAGACGAAGTTGCCTCATCTGCTCAAGGACAGTGGATGATTTGTGGTGTGTATTGTTTGATAGGTTTAACCTGTCATTATTTTGTCAAAAATTGGCATACAAATCATATAAAATACGAAAATTTCAGCTTTGATCGGTATTGATATGCTATGCGCCTTTGTTGCGTCGATGTGGATACACATGATCCTGTGCACAATAGAAACAACTTCACAAAGTTCCTCCTCACAGAGCACAAAAGCCGAAACAGTAGTTAGTTTTGTGAATTTTTTCAATGATTAACATTTGATCCTAGTTACCCAGCATTGAAACGTACTTTTACTTCTTCACACCCTCTTTTTGCTGATAGCTCATACAAGCGCGCACAAAATAGATTCTCGAAATCTATTTTGATTGAACTTGATTTTGTTCTCTTCAGAATCCAAACACACCTATTCCCAACGCTCCTGCAGATTTATGAACGAAGACAACTAATTTGAAGTCATGGTCTCATCCTAATTTTTATCTGTAGTCATGATGCTGACTTTGCAGGTTAATCCACCAAGTTCAGATATAACTCGTCCACCACTACTAAACGAGAGATTTAATAGAAACAATTAATAAAATTAATTTGTGATTCGATGTAACTATGTGATTTATAGCAACAGTAAGATTGTTCCGTCAGCATTCCGAACTCGATAAACACTGAATGGAAGTTGAAAGCTTTGGAAGTATTCGCGTTTTTTTCCCAAAAAAATTCCTCAATTGATTGAATTTGAAATCTTATATATAAAGCTGAATGTCTGTTTGTCTGTCTGTATGTCTGTCTGTATGTCTGTCGTCTGTCTGTATGTGTGTACGTATGTTCCGAATAGAAAATTCCATTTCTGAACCGATCGGGACCAAACTTAGCACACATACACTTCGGGCCCCTAGCTCAAATTTTGCAAAAAAATAAAATGTCGATAAAATCGACATCGATCGATAACGAAAAGTGGACTGTGACACCCGCCGGGGCCCGAAGTGTATGCGTGCCAAGTTTGGTCCGGATCGGTTGAGAAATGGAATTTTCTATTCGGAACATACGGCGGAGCCGGGTAAGCCAGCTAGTGCGCAATAATCCTGTGGAAGAGGAAGGCTATATGATTCACATATTTGTTATAAATACACAGCTATCAAAGTTGCCGATTAGCTGCAACTCATTGTAATTGATCACTCAAATTTTATTCATTCAATGATTCGAATTCGCATGTTTGATTTTGAAAAATTATTTCTAAATGGAATCCTAGCGAAACCGAGGTTTCCGCAAAAATAATCATCATCAAAATTGAGGTTTTATCTGCTTTGCTGCGATACTCGACACTCAAGCTCCACTTAAATTCAATAAAGGAAAAAACTCAAAGGGGTGGTCAGGAAAAATTTAGCTGCTTGCTTTCTGTTCCTCCTTGGCCTTCTAAATGCCTTTAGATTAGAGCTGTTCTTAAAAGTTGAAAAAGTGCTGTTTATGACATTCTCCGGCCTAGGAGATTGCGAGGCGGCTGGAGCGGAGAGTCCCAAGTTGCGAATGGCTGCCTGGGCTGATCAGCCAATCGCCGCCAAAATGAGTGGCGTCACAGTCTCCTGCAGTCAATCACTGTTTCCCGCGGGAATTTTCGCTCCAGCTCTCAGAATTTTCCAAGGCCGGAAAACGCCATAGAAAGCACTTTTTTGACCTTTCAAGCACAGCTCTGGTCTAAAGGCATCTAGAAGGCCAAGGAGGAACAGAAAGCGCGCAGTTGCAGTTTTTCCGAGTTACTGCCTCTAAGGGTTTTGATACAAGGATGCTGAGACGTTTACCCACTGTGTTGAAAAAATGTGAGTCTTTAGCTTATAAATCAACAAGGACTCACAACAATTTTTTGTTTCTAATGTCAACACTATCCGGTTTCGGGAGCTAAGAACTATAACGATAGTCACAGGTGCGATAAGCGGTGGAAAAAGTGCAAAAGCAAAACAAATTTGTTTTCGTCTAGATACTCGATGCGGCTCTTCACCACAGTTCTGAATAACTAGACCACATTTTGCAACAAGCCTTTTACCAAAAGAAAAAGAACACAACACTCAACACTTAAAAAAGAAAAATAAGCACAACGACAAATATGCGGCAAGAAACTACAAAAAACAACAACGAAGAGGCTATGAGCAAAGGCAGCACGCGATAAGGCTGGAAGTAGGGAGTGAGGCAATGATTGAGAAATCGGGCGGAGCCATCACGAGATCAATAGATTTTGGCGCGCATTTCGCGCACTTGCTGATCACCGAGGCAAAACATACATGAATCTACCAAATAAAGATCTACATAGCTACCAATCAGTGGCGTACCGAGGGGGGGGGGGCGGGGGGGGGGGGCGCGCGCCCCCCCCCCCCCGAGAATGGGTCGCGAAATTTTTGAAAGTTACTTATATGGGTTATAAAAATGTGCAAGTGACTTGTTTATTTTTGTAAATAATTAAAATAATTTTTAAAATTTTTAAAAATTTTAATTAGCCTTGTAAAAAAAATTTTTTCGGGGGCGTGGCTGACGCCACGCCCCCTTTTTCCAGATTTTAGGGGTCGGCGACCCGCAAAAGTTCTTAAAAGCACCCCAAAAATTTTTTCGGAGTGCGTGGCTAACGCCACGCACCTTCTTTAGAAAAAAATTTTGTCGCGCCCCCCCCCCGAGCCGAAATCCTGGGTACGCCACTGCTACCAAAGAATGGAAAAAGGTCAACATTTTACAACACGACAACAAAACACTACAAGCAAGAACAACAAAACACTACAAAGCAAACAATACTAGCGGCCCATTACCCCAGTAGCCTACCCTTTTAAACTCAGTGAGCAGATGCCTAGCCTAATCAAAAATGACAATACGTTCACAGATAAGGTGAGAATGACTCCTCCAAGGTGAAGGAGGACACAGTGGTCGCGGCCCCTCCAGGGTGAAGGGTGTTTCATTTGGTAGAGAAATTATAAATTGTCGACGGGGGGGGGGGGGGGGGAGCCATGGTGTTTTCTCATCATTTCTCCTAGTCAAAATTCATAATTTATTCCTTACCATCACTGGTTATCTTTTTTTTCTGAAATGTGAACCGATGTGCAGCTGGATTAGTACACAGTTACATTTCTGATCAGCACCTTGTATTTTTTTGACATTTCCTTTTCCTTTTTTACATCATCCTGCCTGTTTTTGGAATTACTATAGAAGATGTGCATGCGAGAACATTTGTTTCGGAAAAAGTTAGACAATTTTTGAACATTTACGAATTTTTTAAAAGAAGAAATTCGTAATTTTTGTAGATGAACAGCAACGTCAGCAAGGGAACTATTCGTAATTTCTGTAGATGAACAACAACGTCAGCAAGGGAAATGTTTTTAAAACCACCTTGTCTTCCGCTTTTGGAGAGTTTATAGTTTGCCTGGAGTCTGTTGAAAAAGTGCCTAGTAAGAGTGTGGGTAGAGATTTCTGGATATTTACGAGTTTTTAAGATAGAAAAATCCGTAACTTCTGGAGATGAACACCTTGTACGCCGAGATGGTTACCGTTGAAACCGCGTCTCGTCCTCCGCTTTCAGAAAATATATACTTTGCCTGCAGTCAGTTAAAAAAGTGCCTGGGTGGAGGGTGCTCTAGTGATTTCTGGAGATTTTTTAGTTTTTAACATAATTCTTAACTTTTGTAGATAAACATATTTTAAGGCGAGATGGTCACCGTTGGAACCGTATCGTCCTCCGCTTTCAGATATATACTTTGCCTGGGGTTCGTTGAAAAAAGTGCCGGGTGAAGGGTGGGTGAGACTTTTATAATGGGATTGCTCAAGTACAGGCTTTTTTACCATTGTAAAAAGACGTCTACTTGAGCACCTCCATTAAGTCTCACCCACCCTTCACCTGGCACTTTTTCTATTGGACCCCAGGCAAAGTATATATTTTCTGAAAGCGGATGACGAGACAGTTCCAATGGTGACCATCGCGGCGTACAAGATATTCATCTACAAAATTTATTAATTTTTTTAACCTTAAAAACTCGAAAATTCCCAAAAATCACTAGGCACAATCTTCACCGCACTTTCTTGAACGGATCTCAGATATGCTCCATGCTTTCTGAAAGTGGAGGACGATACGGTTCCAACGGTGACCTTCCCGCGGTAAAATATATTCATCTACAAAAGTTATGAATTTGTTTTATGTTAAAAACTCTAAAATGTTCAGAAATTACTACTCACACCCGTCAACAAGCACTTTTTTCAACAGACTCCTCCATTCCTGTACGTAAACAATTCACATACAAATATCTCCTTTGCTCAACCTTACCTCACTGTTGATTTTTTTCTCGGCTTTTGGTGAAGGGGGTCAGCTTGGTCCCGGCTCAGAAGTGAAAAGGGGGTGAGAAAATTCTCACACTCGCACCTATGCCGGTAGTGCAGCTTCCTTGGCGCCCCTCTTCAGTAGTTCCCAAGGAAGCCTCAAAATTATAGCAAAAGAGATACCTAAAGAATTTGAATCAAACAAAAAACAAAAGAGCATAAAGACAAATGGAGATGAATGGGCTACATAACTCTAACACGAACAACGAGTGATCTGGAAAGTGATTGCAAACTCATATTCGAATGAGCGTTATCCCGCCACGGCCTCAGAGCCTGCTAGCTGTATCCCAAGTATTACGCTTTATAAGTGGTAAATGTATAACTGTAGCGAATCCATATGTACGCATTATATATGGCCTATCAAGAAATATTTGGTGAAGTTTGTTTATGAAATAATTACATTCCGTCCATTATTCTTCGTCGTCAAGGCTAGTTCTATAATTCTTTCTTTGAATTGTGTATAGTGGGAGCAATTTCTATGTATTCTGAGTATTTCCGTAGTGTATCAAGCAGTATACATCTTGGTATGTTAGATCTCCATTGTGGATATCTATTAACCTCAAAATTATACGCCTGGTTTATTTTAAATGTTAAATTTGATCTTGTTCTCGCATACTATCATATTTGAGTCAAGAAACTACTTTCGAACTCTGTTGCATCATTAGAGACGTGCAGTATGTCATCTATGTATCTATAGGTGAAATTATATAAGGCACTAGCTAGTGGCCCCGGTCTCACCCGAGACTTCAAGTTAGTTAAGCCAACAGAACTTGTAAATTTACACCTCTGAATTTCTTCTAACATGCGCATAAAGCGCTTTCAGACTAATTGCCGCACTCTACCAACTTTAAGACTGAATTGGACTTTACCGCCCCTGCTTACATGCTTATATGTAAAAATGATCGGATGCCATGATGGCCCTTCATTTTTTTAGGTTTGAGTAAACAAATCAATAAATCAATAGAATGGCCCGGCGAATCGCCGCGGAAAGTAGCTCTAAACCACCGTCGGGGTTGAAAATATATGTGTGCGAAGTTTCAGCCGGATCGGTTCAGTGGCGCGCGTTTCTGTAACGAATGAACAACTAAACGAACATC